TCACCCAATGACAGCAAAGGCTGGCAGCTCCTGGAGGTCAAAGGGGAAGTCAAGCCGGAACCGGGTTTTGAAGAGAGCAGTGATAGTCTCTGAAGGGAAGGCAGAGGGAGGCAGGTGTAGCATCGAGGGCCCCACCTGAGCCATCTCATGGGCTCCCCGCATCCCCCAGGTGCCCCCACCTTCATCACGGTTCCAGACCGCCAAGACCCGGAAGATGAAGGCACTGAAGGTGGCAGCAAAGAAGCCCCGCCAATAGTTCCGCACCGCGAAGAAGGTGGAGGTGACCTCAATGCTGAACAAGACACCTGCGAGGGGCCGGGAGGGCGCCACTTCAGGCCGGGGCCTGGGCCAGGACTCAGAGCCGAAGAGAAGGGTAAAGGAGGCAAGGCCCGGGGCAGGGCTGGGGGCTCCACTGGCCGCCTACCTCCGATAGGTGCTGCAAAGCAGCAGCCCACTCCCACGGCACAGGCAGCGGCCAGCATCTCTGTGTTCCGGGATTCGTTCTGGTGAGAGTGGTGGACGGGGAATCAGCTGGGCTCAGCAGCCCACCCCTCTCCTCTGCCCTCCTCCAGGGTCGGCCTTACCTCATAGATGCCCCCGAAGAGGGAGAGGAACTTGCTGAGCAGCGCAGCACACATGCTTGCGATATGTACAAAAGGGCCCTGGGGGAGGGGGTCAGGAGGTGAGAGGGGAAGCAGCACGCCCTGACCCTGGCCTGGCTTCTTCCTCCACCGGGAGGGACTCCTTTATTCCCCAACCCGCAGTTACCTCTTTGCCAAGGGGCATCCCACTGCCCAGAGCACAGGTCAGCCCGATGACCTTCGCCACAAAGGTCTTGAGGGTGAGGTATTCCTTTAGCACCACGCCCCGCAAGATGGTCTTCATCTCGGGGATGCCGGACCCTGGAGAGTGGAGAGTCCCAGGAGAGTAATGTCATGGGCCTGGTTCAGGAGGCTCCACCTCTGCCCTTCCCTTCTCTCCCTACTGTACCGACAGCCTGAGGAGCCAGGATCTGCGTAAATCCAGCTGAGAAAGTGATGAGGACGACAGGATAGGTGACCCAGGCCAGGTACTGGAGCAAGAGGCTGGTGTTCAAGCCTCGAGACATCCACTGCTGAGCTGTGGGGAGAGGAAGTGCTGCTGGACCCCTGCGGGGCACACCCAGTCCCCGCCTGGCCGCTGGGCCATATCGATAGGAGAGGCTGTCCAGGGACCACCATACAGAGCCCAGGTAAAGGGGCAGGGGGGCCCTAGAGCCTGCAGTGGGGGCGAGGTCATTGTAGGTAAGAGGGTCAGTTGGAGAGGGGAGGCGAGAAGTCACGGCCTATGGGAGTGGCAGTGATTATGTCTGAAGACAGGCACTCAGGCGGCCAAGTAGCCAAGATACTTTGACAAGTTTGGCATGGAGGAAGCAGGTTGGTGTTTCCCAGCCCGCCCCTGCCAGCCCTGTCCTCACCCTGCAGACAGGCGGCAATGGCATAGTCCATGGCCCAGCTGACCAGCGCCATGACGAGCCCCAGCAGGACCAGGAAGATCCAGTCTTCACCAACCCTGGATACTAGGAACTTATGACAGCGTACGGAACAGACTGGGAGCAGGGAAGGAAAAAACAGGGGGCTGGCACCAAAGTGCTCCTACCCCTGCCTCCTCCAACCCCCCATGGGCAGCTCTAATGAATGGCCTCTGTCCCCCCAGTACAGCACAGCCAGATCCCCTGCCCAACCCCAGAGTCTCACTGCGGCACCGGGCACAGCGGCTCTGTCCGTATTCGAGGAGTTCCAGGGGAGCTGGAGGGGACAGCGGGCTCCTCCAGGGCTCCAGCCCTGCCAGGCGGATCCGAGCAGCCTCCTCTTTGGCAAAAGCCCCAAGGTCCTGAGTGTACCGGCCATACATCTGAGCAACGGGGGAAACAGGGTTAGCAGCTCTGCGTGGCTGAGAGGGATTCAGGGAGGGCCCTGGGGCCTCAGCTCCCCTCTCCCAGCCCCCAGATTACACATCCCCTCTTGAACCCACAGGTCCCACTTTGGCTTGGGGTGTGGGAACAATGCACATTGCAGACTGTGGGAGCCGTCCTGCCGGAGGGATGGGGACCGCCAAGGTACAGGGACACAGCTCTGGGGGTGGCAGAATAATCAGTCCTCTTCTCACAGCGCTGCCTGGGGGAGGGGAGCGCTGAGGAGGAATGGGAGGGAAGCCCCAGAGGAGGAGAGATGGAAAAACCTACAGCTCTGAAAGTGGGAGGAGGGAAGGTCAGAGAATAAGGGATGGTCAAGGGCATACGGGTAACAATAAGGTCCTCAAGGAGCTGGGGGCAGCTGAGTTGGGCCTAGGAACAGGCGGGGCCTCAATCCTTATCACGTTCCTGCCGGGCCTCTGGCCTGTGACCGAGTCAGCTGTACCCCTTCCTCCCACCCTAATCCCCTTGTCCCTATTCTCCATCCTCCCCCAGCCTGCCAGTCCAGCTTCCAGCTGGGAGTGGAAAGTCTCTCGGGTGGGTGGGGAGTACTTGGTGGCCTCAGCCCACACTGGAGCTGCCCTGAGTCCAGTGGTAGGCTGGGGGCAGCAGAAGCTGATGGCTGGGCTGTGATGCTGGGGTGATGGGACCGGAGAGTCTCTGAGCTATGGCTAGACCTGCCAAGCTGGGCATGTGTTGAGGGGTGGGGAGGAGTAGATTCCGGCTGCCACCCGCAGAGCTTCGAGACACAAAGGGCTCCTGTTGGGACTGGGGGGTGGTGGTGGTGAGGGAGGGAAAGATGAGAGAGAGAGAGAGAGAGAGAACAAGATAGAGAACCAGAGAGAGGAGAGGTGGGGAGGGAAGAGAGGCCAGGGGAAGGAGCAGAGAAGAGGAAGGAGAAGAAGGGAGGAGGAAGGGAGAGAAACAAAGTAAGAGTATAAACAGGCTGACACAATGTCAGAGTGGGAGGTGAGCCTGTGAGAAAAAGACAAAGGGATCGAAAGGAGAAGGGGGAGAGGCTGGAGCAGAGAGTGCCCGGGAGAGAGCTTGACCCTGAGAACTCACACCAGAGATAAAGACCAGGCGAAGGAGATGGGGCTGGGGCTGGTGCAACAGATAGACACCATTTCAGGGCCAGGTGCCTGGCTTCCGAGACCAATGCCCCATTCTTGGCTCGTGCAGATGGACGGACACCTCCCACCCGATGTGAAGGCTCAGCCCTGTACCCTTGCTCCACCCCCTCCCCTGTCACCTCTCCCTGTCATCCTGTTCCATCCAGTCATTCCCTCTCTTAACTGGGCACCTCCCAGCCTCAATTACAGCCAGGGGCTCCCCCCTCCTGGAGAGGTGCCCTCCCTGCCTCCTTCCTGGGCAAATTCCAGGACCAGCTGTTTGAAAAGGAGCCCTTCCCTAGAGTTTGGGCCCCCCCACCCCAGTGACACAAGGAAGGGCAAAAGGCTTCTCCAACACTCAGTGACAGTGTGGCCACGAGTCAGCTCAGAACCCCAGGACCCCTGCTTCTAATGAGGTCAAGGGACACCCCCGGGGTGGGTAGGGGCTGGACACTCAGAGTAAGTAAGCATGGACAAAGGTCCCCGTTCCCACACCCATTCCTGCCTGACCCATCCCCCCTGAAGTTCCTGTCCCCCAGCGGGCAGGCCACCTTTTTTTTTTTCTTTCTTTCTTTCTTTTTTTTTTTTTGCCAAAGAATAGACGCAGGGGTTCCTGCCAATGCTGGGGGCTGGGTTTGCCCATCTTTCTACACACGCCTGTTTCTGTGTCCAGCACAGGAAAATGCACGTACTGGGGACAGAATGTCTTGGTGGTGGAGATAGAAGTGCAGACAGATAAAGTTCAACGGGTGTGAGCGGTGCTGGGGAGGGTGGTGGGGGGCTGAGACTTGGGTACAGGTGGTCAGGGGGAGGAGCAGAGAAAACGCGGTGTGTTGGGGGGAGAGGTAATGGGAAGGACACCTCGGACAAGCACCTGATCTTGTCCTCCGCAGGCCCGGCCTCAGCCAGAGCCCTGCATGCAGCTCGTCCCGGAGCCCTCCGACCGCTCAGG